ATAAGATAAAAATCTCTTCTCGGTGCTGTTATTATTCAAAAGTTTCATCACAAGATTTTCCCCAGAAAATCAGGAAACAATATAATAAATATAAAACATATTTTTCACATTATATTCAAAATTTTTCACTCTAGTTACTATTAATAGCTGTAACTTAATCAAAATATGTAAATTTTTTTCAAATACAGCAGAGTTTACCGATTCTAGCCGCAGCTGACCACCCACACATTTACTCTCAGTCGCCTGAGCTTCACTTATTTAAATTTTCAACTCAAAAGTGAATTAACTATGTATATAAACGCCTAACGTTCAGCTTACGACGCGACTGAATAGCCCTCTTGCTATTTCTTTGCCGTTGTCGTTCGCAAAGCAGGAAGCGGAAAAGGAAATGAACCTATTAAGCCTCGCTGTGATGACGGCAAAAATACCAAGCGGCGAGTTTCTAACATAGAAAAGCCAAAGCAAAGTGGAAAAAAATGAAATTTGAGAACATTTAGGGATTTGCCATTGGCCGTTACGGCATTTCTGCCGGTTGACCAAATTAAGCTGTGTGTATGTAAATAAATTGCTCGGCAGCACGCAAAAGTATAGGCTCGTTAGGTTCACAATGACGTGACTTTTTTGCATTGTTGTTAAGGCGCCTTGCTTGTCGGGATTTCGAAACAATTGCTAGTAAAGACCTTGCTGTTGTTTCTGCTTTCGCTGTGTGCGTTCTGGCAAATGAGGTGAATTCTTGGTTGAGTGTAAGATTTAAAAGCGTGTGCATGGCAGATTATGGTGTGCAGCTTTAAATTGCAAAAATTAATTTGATTTGCTGACAGCAAAGGAAGTCGCTATAATCTAATTCAAACATTTGCTAAGAAATCAATTAATGCTTAAGCTTTTCGTTGGAAATATGGCGTTTAATACAAAGGAGTTAAAAACTTTGTTGTGGCAATAGAAGGTGTACACTGCTTCTTTGATACAAGCATTAACTGTGAAAGTATCACAAAGACATTTGAATTATGTTTTAACATTCTTAAATCAAGTTTTGCAAGTCTTTTAAATATATTTTGAATGGGAAATGCAAATTATACCTTAACTTCGTTAGGGTTTCGAATGTAATTATGATTAGCGTAAACAATTACTTTTACTAAATATAACAGTCTAACAAATAAAAAAAAAAATATTTTTATATTTTTGCGTTATTTTAGATACAAAACATACAAAAATTCGAATAAATAGGTGTCTAATTAATTAGGCGTTTAATAATTTGAACTTAGCCAGCTTCTAAAAATACTTTTATACCGGTTTTATACAATGAACTCCAAAGATGTAATGGGCATACCCATTAGTAAGTTTTCTTTCGCTCTCGCTCTTTTTCTCAGTCTCTTTTATTGTATGCTCTTATCGTAAAAAATAGTAAAACATACATTTTGTTTAATAAGTGTGCCTTGCATTACGAAAAACCTTTTTTATTAATTATAATTAATACATTTTCTCTTTGGAATAGTTTTAAGGTTTTTCATCTTTAAAATGCTACTGTGCAGTTCCGCCCCCACATTTTTCCCAACGTTATCACTCTTCATTTCTCTACTCACCTAACAATATTATCGGTGTGAACATCATATTTAAACCAAATGTCACGTTGAAATCGTTATTTTCGAAATGCGTTAAACAAAAAAGTAAACGCAAATGCAGCGATTAACCCAGAAATCGTGTTTCGAAACCGACCACCGTATATATCAGTTATGTTAACACGTTTTTGAAGCTTTGGACGACATACTTATTAAAGAGCATACATAACGTCGTCATCGTTGCGGCGCTACTATTATGTCACATTGTCGGTCGTAAATATCGCGTAGCTTGCTGCGAGCTTCAATAGTGTGGGAGTGCGCAGGAAAAAGAGTACCAGCTCCAAAGTAGCGGTAGCTCTACGGTCACAAAACATTATTTATGTATGTAGGAGAAAACTGTATTCATGGGAGCAAAATATTTAATTGTCAATGCTGCTTATTATCATTGTCTATGGCATGACCGTTATATAATGTACTAAAGATAAATAACTAATATTTTGCAATGTGACGATTACAAGAAATTAAAAATTATTTTATTTTAATTTTATTTTCGCAAAATTAACCAATGAGGCGTAAATATTTTTCAAACTTTAAGCGCATTGCTTTGTAAATACATAAAACTAGTTCACCTGGAAAGAGTTCAATTACTTATTGCTTTCCTTTGACTATCATAAATAAATATAAATAAACGGACGTTAACTTTTAAGTTGATGTGCCTTGGTCTTTAATTTTTTTTCGAAGTATTTAAAATTATTAATTCAAAAGAAATTCGTGAGAGCAGGAAACGGAGTGTTTCCCATGTATATCACTAGTACATTTTTTCAAAGTCTGATTAGGTTCCACGAAGGCAAACAAAAGCTATGTAAAACAACCCTTAGAAAATTTTGTAGAGAGCATAGGTATAAACACTTGTCGTCAAAAATCATCAAACTTTCAATAACATTAATTCTTTTTTCAAGATTATTCAGTTAAATGGTTATTTTGAGGTTGGAAAATATCTCAAGCATACATTTTATTTTCTTAAGCGGATAAGTGTATCTGGGATGTGGAATACAAAATATTTATGAAATATAAAACTTAATGGGCCATTTATAGTCAGTAAATTGCTCGGAACTGCATCTCAGGCGACCCTTCAAGATTCCGGATTACTGCAGTATCTTCCAGACGAAAGTCTTTGCAGTCAAGTAATAATCTTACATCGCATTACGTCAGAGAATGTCCTTTGCTCCCTGCTTCTAAGTAGATGTAGCGGTTGAAGGAAAGCGGCTGCTTATATACTGGGTTCTAAGGCACAAAGGGGTTCCGGGAAATGAAATTGCTGATGAAATTGCCAAAAGTGCGATCCGGCTGGCTACCGAACAAACGCAGGATATACGGAAGTCACCAAGATTATGTGCAAGAGCCCCGAAGAAAATCTTGCATACTTTTTACACACTCGACTAAACTATCTAGGAGCTTCGCAGTTCAATGGACTAAACGAAGTATCAAATTTTAATATCAAGTCAATCTTAAAGTTCACAAAAGGCGTTCCTGTATGACAATGACTTCACCTTAAATTAAACAGAACCTCGATCTGGGATTACTAAGGAGCAGTAGGTCTCTGTATGGTGTGACAGCCGGCCAGTATAACATAACTTAACCTATATCCATTAAAGGTCTCTAGTAACCAATAAGACTAATACTAATTGCAGTCCTAAATAGTACAGTTGTTAGAGCTTGATCAACAGATTGCATCAGCATTTGTATATCTAACCCACCATGTTCTTTTGAATAGCTGTGATTAGAAATAACATAACTTCAGTTTCGTGATTGAAGTTTTGTATCTTTACTTCTTACTTTTTTACACTATACCTGTTGTTATGTCTTTTAGGTTAGGTGTAACAGCAGACTCCATATTCTAAGTGTGTTGTTTAAATATTCTGAGGCTCAACGTTTATTTTTAAATTTCAATCAAGTTGTGTACTTTTCACTTTTAATTCAGTCTGTGTGCCAAGCTCATTTCAACACAATAAACGTTGGACTTATCATACGCCGCAGGCTGATGCGTTTTTCTTTTCGAATTTGTTGCCAACGAGTACTCGCATACCATACATACATATGTACTTATATACATTGGTGTGTATACATATACACATAAATGTGCACATAAGTATGTGGTGGCGATTAAATAAATGTCAAAATGAAACTCACTTCAATTCATCAATGCGACAATGCGCGCTGACGTTATGTGCAGATGTTGCACGGAATTTAATTTTGTCTTTTGTCCAACGGACATTTGTCGAACTTAAATGGAAAGTTTCGCTCGTACTTTTCATCACTGATTGAAATTGGCACTTTTGCTATGCTCGGCTAATGACAGCGAGCTCACTCGTATGCAGCTATGTGTGGGTATGTGTGGACCTTTGTGTTTTCGTCATTGTGGGGCAATTGTGTGCAAACATACCTATGCACATTTGTATTAATGTACTTAGTTGCGGACTTTGCCGATTTCTTTTTGCAATTGATGAAATTCGTTTGTTCGACTTAAAAATATTTTACATACATATATGCAATGGCATTAATTAGAAATTTTCAACTGTCGTGGAAAGGTGAATTGTGCAAATAAGTTTTTGAGCATTTCGAAATTTGGTTGTGAAAAAGTGAAAAAACAGTACTGGCAACTAATTAAGTGTAATATTAGATGTACGAGGATTTTTTAGTAACCTTTTTAATTAAAACTTTTTAGAAACTTTAGGCTATTTTTAAAAGTATTGAGTAAGGTTTGCATTTTTTGTTAAGCTGACGTCTTGTGAAATCATTTTTGGATATTGTTATGAAACTCGATGCTTTGAAAAAAATGTTTCGAAAATGCGAAGCTGTACACAATTAATGATTTATTAAAGGATATTTGTTTGCTTTGAGCCTATCACATATTTGTTGAGGCGACTAATGTCACTTTCGGCTAAGTTTTCTGGTTCGCCGAAGATAAGACTACCGAGATAGTTCAGCCTCTGTCTTGCAAAGGTCGGACAACGGCAAGGAAAGTGCCTGGATGTTTCCACCTCATCCATACAACCTTGACAACTAGCGTCGTATACTAATGGAGATCTAACTCGGCCCCAATCCGATCGGCTTTGCAGTTGCCAGCGATACCGCTATGACCAGGCACTTAATCGAGTCTGATGATGAACTAGTTTGATGCTATTTCTAGTGATGATAGACATTCCTTGTCTAGCTTGGAGCGCACAGTTAGCGAGCTCAGCGCTAGTATTGCCGCTCTGTTGTCGGAGTAAATGCACACCTCCCTGAAAGAGGCTACACTTGGTAGCAGTAAATATACCGCTATCTTAATAGCAGCCACCTACTGCCTGAAAAACACTACAGTATTCCGGTCTGATTGACAGAGAGCTCTTTACAGAAAACTTCTCCTAAATATAGATATATTTAAGTGAAAATATATTTAACTCGTATCTTATATAAATTATAGCGTATATTCCGATATAAAGGTACAAAATTTTCAAAACACACAAATTTTTTTTTAATTTCTTATTTTATCACCACTATTCGTCGCTTCATTATTTATTATACTATTCACTGCACCTCTTCGGAACATCTCTTTGGTAAATGGAAAAAGCGCTCTGGAAACGGAATACTGCTGCTTATAAATTGTACTCTTATGGTTTCATTTGTGCAGGGCAAATCAATTTCCGATGACGACAATTGAGCGCTGTAGACACCAGATTCATCTTCATCTTCGTCCTCATATTTTGGTAAGTGGTTCGGCGGTATTATTCTTTTTTCTTTTGGCGGTTTATTATCTGCGATTGCTTTAATATCGCCGACACTTTCCGAGGGATATGCAAATGCTGTGAACTAATTTAATCGATAAATATATATTTTTTTTAATTCTCCGCGTTATTTGGCACTAACCTGTAATGCGAGCAGCACACACAATAATAAAAACAATTTGCTGTTCATTTTTTAAAACAACATACCTCTTAACGCTTTGTGAAATAGAATAAGACTGGAATAATCGTTTATTTGCCGGCAATTTATAGTAATTTTAAAGTACTAGCTACAAACACAATAAGAATTATCTGCGATTGCAGTGAGTTTTATTGTAATTATCTTTTACTGCACTTACAGTTCGATTAGCGATAATGTAAACCGGTTCTTTTCAAGCTGATTTCTGTTTCAAAATGATTCGTCTTACAACTGAAACTGTATTTCTGAGAATATAGTAGCGTTCAACCGTTCATAGAAAAAAAACGGGTTCAAATAGTAAACAGTTTTGATTTGATATCGGGAGCCTAAAATATACCCAAGAATTTCAATTCACACCGTAAACAATGAAAGAAGTAGCTCTCAGAAACGGTTATGCCTAGAACTACTACGACCATTGCCACGCTCAACTAATGTCATTAAGCGAAAAACTACAAAGTGCTACAAGTAAGTCGCATTTTAAGATAAAATTCACTAAATTTATATCAACCAAACTTTTTGAAAATAAGTATTTCAAAAAATTCCTCATAAAGTGTGAAAAAGAGTAAAATCAGATTATAACCATACCTACTCTCCATATAACGGTTATGTTGAAAAAAATAAAAGTTCGATAACACAAATCATATTTTTAAGCCGCCATTCAAGCTGTCTTATACCGAATGTGTGGCTCCCAGCGTCTTTGGCTGATTTTTTGCCACAAATATCGTTCAATCTGTGAGATATTTCATTCAAACTCAGAGAGTCTCTTTACAAGTATTTGTGTCTTTGTTCACAAAAAGGCTTAAAATCGAGTCAATACTTCGCCTAGGTGTTATATACCCAATGTAAGGATTTTCAAACTAACCGTTGACGTTAGAACTAGGTATTATGTTGGACATACTATATCCCTAATATAACAGTTTCCACATCTACCGCTGACTTTTCTTTCATACAAACAATATATCAAACATTCAGCTATGACAAACGAGGTCGGTATTTACATGTCGCAATGAACTCCACCCTTCTGGGATATAAGCAAATCAATATTAACGCTAGTTGAAGATAAGCGAGCACCATACATACCATACATAGGTATAATATTTTTCAGAATAAGTTGAGTGATCCATGCAGTTTCATAAAGTTTGCTATAAAATAACCCTAGGGGCGCATATTAAATGTCATACTAAGATCATATAGAATATCAACAGACTATTATTGAAATTCCTGGAACCCGATCAAGTACTTTAGGGTGGAGTGGGTAATAGAAAAACTACTAGTCATCACAGAACAGCTTCATCTGAGATACCATCTTTAGAGTTTGATAAAGTGGAAAGCGTAGACTGCGAGTATACGCAGAGAATTATGAGACGCTAGAATAATACCTTTACAAATATTCAGTCTTCAACCGGTTGAGACGGGATATGTTCTAAGTCTTAGTCCAATTTTCCGTTTTAAAAGGTAGCTAGAAAGATAAGATTCTTCTTAATTCCATTGAATCCACGGAGTTTCTCAATTGTGCTTAATTAGATATCATTGGAAACACAATGGGCGTAAAGTGACCATTTGCGGTCAGACGCTTTTGCGTCCTATTGTTTCACTAAAAAATATTTGTTTATTTTTTGTGTAGTTGTAAAAGTCCTTGTTAATATTAAAAAATAGTAAAGCCCAACATGTTTTTTTTAATATGAAACTAGATTTTAAAGTTTTCTTATAATATTAAATTCCAATCCAAAATAGTAATTTATATTTAATTTTATGTGAGCATCATTTACTCTCTACTTCCGATCACCTCTTTGGTGAATAGAAAAGGCGCTCTGGCAACGGGAAATCGCTGTTAATTACATGTATTCTAACAGTATTATTTGTGCAGATTATTACACCAGATTCTTCTCCGTTTTCGTCCACAAGGCTTGCTGTTGAGTGGTCCGCTAAGTCTTTTTTGAATTTGTCCACACTTGGTGTATCCGGTATTGTGCTTTGTTCTTTCGGCGGTTTATCATCGGCGATTTCTTTTATATCCTCGACACTTTCTGAGAGATATGCAATTGCCGTGAACTAATCGATAAATAGGTTCAAGTTTTAGGTATATTTTAGGTAAACTATGGCAATGAAAAATAAATTTCGATTGTTTTTTAACTTCTAGACTAGAAGACTCCTTTATATTTGTTTTACCTTGAAATATATTCAATAACTTATATTTAAATATGTTCATACTACAAATTTACAGGAATTTATTATATATTTATATATAAAATTCATTTCAAGTAAAGCAGTTGATTAAAACGTTGTTCTATTGAGAAAAAAGTTGTTTCGAGTCAAATACGGTTAAAGTTTTAGATATAGTTTTAGGTAAACTATATTTTTTTATTAACTAGAATAGAAAACTCCTAGTACTAGGGTTAACCGAAAATATACTCTAGAATTTATTTTCACACAGAAAAGCTGAGATTACTGAGAGAAATATATTTTCTACCTGCAGCAATAATTATTATTGTAAACTTTGATATTTTAAGGTTTTATGTTTAGGTATTTACAAAGAAATCTGTTTGTTAATATCTCTATAAGTTCCCCTTGTACATTTACATTCCCACACCTATGCAAGAAGTAAAATCCAAGCTTTCCCTCTTCCTAACTCATTGCCTCGACGAATTCACTTCAATAACTTCTTAGTTTCGCATATATAACAAAGTTCAAATAATTTTTAAACAGTTTTATCGAAAATATAATTATTGCAATTATAAATTATTTCTACGTTGCGCCGTAACTGGCTTACATCCACAAATACGTGCACTGGGGCACAATAAATATATGACTAATGGCAATACAAGAAAACACAATGAAATCGACGAACCAACAACCACCCAGAGCTTTGTTTCGTCCCATGCTTTGCTGTTCTGGGAATCATCATCATTTGCTCTATAAACCTCGTTTACATTCTTCTCCTCTGTCTCCCTAACGGGCATCATGTCAAGCGCATTGTAATCTATTGCAAACTCCGACGTTACACGCTAGAAAACAACAACATTTGTTTATCTTGCAGAAAGCTTTTTATAGTTAACTCTGTAACTTACCTGAAGCTTTAAAAGCACTGCCAGTTGTAAAAGCAGTTTCCAGTCTTGCGACATTCTTGTAGTCTGGCTTTGGTGAATGCAAAAAGATTTTTAGTGTAAAAATTATTGAAAATATTTACATCTTTAAAATTTCAATTTAATAATTCAGTTATTTCTTTCAAAACATTAGTTGACATTTATTTTGATATCTCATATTCTTACTGTATAGTGTTGAGCAAAATTTTTGAATTGTTTGATGCTGACATCAGAGTTTAAAATAATTCAATAAATATATGTATTATCGAACATTCAAGAAAGCTTGCAAAACCTTTGTGAAAGCATGCTAGATGAGATCCTCAGAAGCTTTTTGCAAATTACAATAACAATAACAACTCAGGAGTCAAAAATGTCCACCGATTTATTTTATAATAGCTGTATTCGATTAGCGAATCAAACTAACTATACCAGAAGTACTAATAATCGCACAGCACTTGCGGTGCAACTCTGTGTTAGCAAGTCTTCTGCGCATGCGCAATTGTGTTACTATTATTTCTTGATGGCGAAATTCTTTTGAATCCCTTAGTAACCTTTACTAAAAATGATATAAAATAGCGAAATGCCGAATCGAAGACAGCTAATATTTTTGCATAAATCAGGGTATGAGAGGAAGTTCGGCCAAATATCGAAAAGACTATACAAAGGGTGTTTTTTTACACATGTGGCTTTTAAGAAGAAATGTGACTTATATAATAATATATAAATATTCGGGTTTGCCATTATGTTTTAAAAATGATTTCGGGCAAGTGAAAAGCGGCTGGCTTGAATAAACTCCAGCCGAGAGCCGAGCCCAATTTTTTACCACTTTTTGCAGCTATTGGGGCCGTATGTCGATTTTTGAATCTGTTCGTTATATATTTATTATAATTTTAATTATCAAGTAACAACTGTCTAAAAGAGCTAAAAATAAGTATATAGAATAACATAAATACATATATTATAAGCATTTTCTTAGTGGTTAAAAATTTTCTTATTTACTTTTGAATTTCCAAAATATATTTCAACTTTATGATTTTTAAAATGGATTGACATGAATTGTGTAACTTTTTAAATATGTATATGCAGTTGCACATTTATACAGGATTTCTGTGATGATTTTTGTAAAAAATATATAAGGTCTATGATTATAGCTTTATAACCTGAAATCCGTTTAAATAAAATACATATGTAAGTACCTTAAGAAAATCTATATATGGTATTTATATGTCCACATAATGAGACTCAAAACTATCAAACTAAAAATAATTTCACTTTCGATTGCTTTCATCCCAAGAATATTGCGGTCTCAATTCTCTATTATTCACTTGCCCAGTGCGTTGCAATTCCACTTGTTTACAGCCACAAATGCGCACATTTGGCCAAAACATATATTTACATATTGACGCTAGCACGAAAATTAATGAAATCGCCGCGCACATTACGGCCCAGTGTTCTCTTTTTAACGGTAAAAAATGTTTGGCTTTCGGCTGCGCTCGCTCAGTTGTACTTTCCACCGGCGTTGCTTGCACATTGCTTGCCACTGTGTCATTGAATTGCTCTAGCGATTGTGTACGCACGCACTACAAAATATATTGACAAACTATTAAAAATTATTTAAAAACATAAAATTTGCTTAACTTTAACTCATAAATAACATGCCTGCAGCATTACAAATGCACTCAATAGTAGAAATATTGTAGAAAATGACGCCATAATTTCAAACAGACTTCCCGCTATCCAGAAATGTTTATTGCAACTGAAAGTTGCTTTGTGCGAAACGCAAATTGTGGAATTTAATACTCGGAACGTTTCGCAAATGCACGTGGACTTACATGCTTGTACTATTTACATTTACATGTAGGGGAGCCACATATTTTGCGCAGCGGAATGACCCAGTAAGAAATAAACGGTGTTGTTAATATTTCAAAAAAGTTTTTTACTAGGGTTCTCCACCGCTGCAGTGATTTCCGTTAACTTACGCTTGGAAAAAATAAAACTTGACCAAACAGCTGACTTTTTAACAAGAAATTAACAGTTTTGCTTAACCAAAATTTTGATCGGTTTTGGCCAGTCAAAATTCAATTTTTTTTAGATCAAAATAATGGTAGATCATTGTATGGAGAACTATATACCGAAGATGTAGAAAAAATTTGATACATCATATTTCTCCGAAAAACGCCTTTATTTACAAACTGATGGAGCTGATTAAACTGCGCGACTATACTTTAGAAATTTCAAAAACTTTTTGAGATAACTATTTAAAATTTCGGCATGATATTTTAAAAACTACAACATTTCGAAATATGCAAACATTAATTTTGTTTTTGAATTTCACACTAGGTGTGTCACTTAATATAGCTGTTGTTAATACTTTAAAATTTCCTACTGGGTGTTAAAAGAATGAATAAGCTTCTCTTGAAATAAGTTAAGAGCAAATGCATTTAGCTTACTGCATAATAACTCTATATACATACATATACAGAGTCACTTGAGTGTGTTCAAACAGGTTTTTCTCTGTTGTTGTATTTTGAAAAATTTGCAAAAAGTGGGAAGAAGAGCGCAAAACAATGTATGCGGTTTATTAATGAATTTTTTACATGTTTTTTAGAAAGAACAAAATTATTTCAGTTTATATTATAAAATATTGCATAAAAATTGAATATTAATAGGTGAATAAAATACGGACCAGCATTTGCATTATTTAAATTAATTTAAAATGAAGATTTGGCGGAGCTAAAAGCTCGACGAAGGAAAAAAATGTAATGCAGTGCTGAACTCAACTTTAGCCAGAATTTTAATGCATCACCCTGTTTATGTGTAGTTCTATGACGTTTGCTGTGTTTGTGTTAGTAATTCAAGTTAATACCAAAATATTGAGGAAAGCCCGAAGTCGTAATGCATAATGCAACGAAAGTTTTTCGGGTTAAAACTAAAAACATAATATAAAAAAGCTAAAAAGAGCCAAGTATAAACCATAAGAGCTCTGAGAATAAATGAGAGTAAATAAGCCGCAGCTTATAAAGGTACACAGAATTTTTCGTCATATTGTTTCATTAACGCAATTATTTTTTTTTTTAATTTTTTTAACTAACAAATATTTTAATTAAATTGCGTTGAAGTAAAAGTTTGTCTAATGAATGATTGAAGAACAATTTAACTTAATTAGTGCACTTTGGAACCCGATTGCATATATGTTGAACCACGGGGTGCATAGTTTTTTTTCACGGTTTTTGAAGAGAGGGAAGTAAAAAAAAAGAAAAAATGTTTACTTCGGCTGCACCAAAGCTATAATACCCTTCACAGGTGCGTTTGACATAAAAGGGTATAAAAATATCTTTATCTTGCATTTGAACGGTACATTTGTGTAGCTATTTTCATGAAGATATTTTGTTAAATAAAAAGTTTTCCAAAAAAAAAAAAGGTTCTTATCGATTAGCTTGTATGTCAGCCATATCCTATAGTCGTCTGATATCGGCGGTTCCAAAAAATGAGCAGCTTCTTTGAGAGAAAAGTGCGTGTGCAAAGTTTCAGATAGATATCTCAGAAATTGAGGGACTAGTTTGCGTATATTCAATAGACGGACATGGCTATATCGGCTCGTCACACTGATCACTTATATGTGTATGGTATTTACAGAGCTTTCGATGTTTCCTTCTGGGTGTTACAGTCTTCGTTGAAAACTTAATATATCCTGGGTATAAAAATCGATTAAAAGCATAATATTCATATACATCGATAATCATTACTCAATTTGTCATAGAATTAATTTCCTAAACCACCGCTGTCATTATCTCGTTTAACACAAATTACACAACAGATATGCGGTTAAGGAAGTAGTTTCTCATATGCAAAACTGAAAAGAAAACTTTATTGTATTTTGTAATTACTAATAATACTGAAATAAACACACACATATGTATGTATGTATGTGATCTGTAGCTCCACTAGTAAATCGAATTTCAATTCATTTAATTTGATTGCAATGTCTTTAGTTTCTAATGTGAAAGCATTAAAGTGCAATGACAATACACATATGTCTAGGAAATACTGTACCGAAATAGAAATAATCAAATCGCAATAGACGAAACCGCAATAGAAAAACTGGTTAGACGCGTTTTATCTAACATCAGCATCAGCGTGTGTCTATGTGTCGCTTTGTGTGATTGTTTGTCAGTTGCATAATCGGGGAAAATCATAAAAAATTGACTAAACCGCACTCGCAGCAGCTGGTTGCTGCCGCAAGACGCTTCACTAACCCAATAGAATCGGCCTGGAAAATGCGCAGAGCGAAGAAATACAGCGAAAAGGCAAAAGCGAGCAAATACGAGTAAGTGAAGCTGAGAACCGGTGGCGAAAAGTAATGAAAAGTGTGCGAAATGTATGGAGCATGTATAATAATATAGCAAGTAAGTGATATAATAATTTTTGGTACGCCAGTACTCAGATTTTAAAATATCGATATGAAATCTTGCACATGTCCATTTCTTCCTAAGAATCTGCTTAATTGTCGCATTACCCGATATCGGACCACTATGGCATATAACTTCACGAAATTTGGCATAAATTATAGCCAGAAGCAACTCTATCATATACGAATAAATTGTTCAGATCGGACCACTATAGTATATATAGCCATACAATATACAAACTAAACGATCAAAATCAAGTTTTTGTATGGAAGAAGTTTTTGCTTGACAATATATCTTTCTGAATTTTGACACATACTATTGCCCAAAATAACGCTACAATCTGTGAAGATATTTGATGGACTACTATAACATATAGCTGACATACAAACGGGCCGATCACAATCAACTGTCCTCGCCTGCAATTATATTCAGTTAACTAAATTATCAGCCAAGTGACACCACAGGTTGTCAATAACGACGACCCACCCTAATGCATATTCTACCGTAATTTATTCATGTTCACGCAGAGGTAAACATAACCCAGTGCCCCAGGCAAGCGCTGAAAACTTGCAGCGCCGCTTTACCGCACTCCTTTTTGGAGCTGTTTGTTGCACAGTTACTTCGAACTGGTTTGTCTTACTTCATTTATCTCATATGTTTATGATTTTACTCAGTAAGTTAGTCGGTAACAGGAAAACTGCATTGAAAACAAATGCAAAACATAAGAAAATAGTGGGTTTGTGTGTGTGTGTGTGTGCGAAATCGCCGATAGTTTTGCTGTTTAGAAGCTGACAGTTGATATTTCAACTTGAAGGCAGTGTCCCAGCTAAAGCACAAACACACACGCACACACTAGAAGCACCTTTGAGCGTATTTATGTATATAGTTTAAGTGTGTCCGTCCACCCGCTATGTCGCTGACACATTTGCGCATCAGCGCCCAATCGGCAGACGCAGTCGTGCGGCAAATGAATAGCGGCGTTGGCAGTGGCGACCGGAGTAGCAATCATGTAGGAGTACAACAAAATAGCTGCAATAACCACAATATTCTCTGACTGTGGCTTGCGGTGCTATTGACTGCATTCGTGATCTGTATAGTGTTGTTGTTGTGAATATTGTTGCTGTTGTTGCTATTACTACTTCGCTTGGCAGTTTAAAAAACGTGCATGCGTTTGTCAAAAGCGTACGTCGCGGTTGATGGTAGTGCATTTGCTGATAGCAACAACAACAAAAACTTACTTTGATTTCTTATTTCCAGTTGAATTTTCGATTTGTATAAATTTTCTTTGCATTTCCCTTGCTCACTGAGTTGGAAGTTTCAAAGTGCAAATGACTTTCGGACCAAGTTCTTCGATTTGTTGACTGCGATTACTCACTGAAGCGGCAACACTGCAACAGCTTTAGTCTTAAGAGCTGTTATATTTTTTATCGATGTGGGAAAATGTGTTAATTTTTTGCAAAGAGCCTGGATAGAGGAAATGAAGTAAGATTAAGTGTATTTCTGACTGTAAAACTATTCATAAAGTCAACTTGATTGGTGGGTGGCGGCTCTCAAGGTCCGTTTTTTTAAGAAATTACGGTCAACGAGAAACATTTTGACAATTTTAAGCTCGCTTGGTTCTCCCATTTTTCTTAACTACCTGTTACGAATCGGAAAGTGTCTCAATTTGTTCTAAAAAATAATCTCGATTTTTTTTAAAAGCTTTAATAAGCAAAACTCCATCTAAATCAATAAGAAAAAACCAAAAATTTTAATTTGGTCGTTCAATTTGTATGACAGCTATATGCTAAGTAGTCTAATCTGAACAATATTTTCGAAAATTGTAGCGTTACTTTAGACAATAAGCCTTGCCAAATTTCGGTAAGATATTTTATCAAAAAAAAAAGTTTTCCATACAAGAACTTGATTCCGTTCGTTCAGTTTGTATGGCAGTTCGATATCAGCGGTTCCGACAAATGAGCAGCTTCTTAGGGAAAAAAAGATGTGAACAAAATTTCATATGAATACTCTAAAAACTGAGCATCTGTTTCGAGTATATATAAACAGACGGACGCGAGCTCGTCTAGCTCGCCATATATAATATATTTTATAGGGTCTCCGACGTTTCCTGCTGGGTGTTAGAAACTCCGTGGCAAACTTAATGTACCCTGTTTAGGGTATAAAATCAATTTTGATGGCAACTCCTGTTCAAAAGTTCACCCAAGTTTCTACTCCTCCTGGAATAACCCCACGTGTCGCTGTTATATTAATCATTTTCAATCAGAGATCAAACTCGTGCAGCATACATCAGCTGGTTGCATGCAACACACGCAAAATAATGACATACAAACAACAACAACAAATGGCGTAGTAAGACAAGATAAGCGATGCGGCAGTACAACAGGTTATGTGGTTGTAGGCCAAGTCCACAAGCAAGCACGCATGCGTAAGGAGATGTGCAATAACACAACGTAATGCACAAACATACACACACATACATATGTATATACACAGTTTATGTTATGTAGTAGCTGCTTCAGCCGCATGAGAAATGCGTTGCAATGCCAGACGTCAAAGAGCCACAAGTTGATTTGGTTAGTCAGTCAGCGCGCTGCTGGCTGGCAGGCAAGCCGCTAGTCAGGTCTGGCGATCAGCCGGTCAACCAAGTAACCGAATGGCCTGCCAACCGGTATCATGCGATGACTCTGAGCTGACTTAGCGGTTAATGCGTGTTCTTGTTTATAAATAAACATAATGAAGTCAAAGTTGCGCTGCAACTACTATTGTTGTTATGTTGTTGTTGTGATTTTTTGCTGCTGGCAATCAGTTATTGCACAATGATTGCACGACTTAATGTGGTATCGATAAAATACATATATACAATCATACACATACACATATACTTTCTTGTGGCTTTGCGCCAAAACAGTGTTCTGAGCGCTGTATGTAACTAGTTAATAAAATAGAAGCAGTAAAAGTAATAAAAGTAGTCGTATTGATTACTTGCCACAAAACACTTTTGTAGGTATGTATATATATTGATTATATTGAAGTTTGTTGAAGTGGTAGCAAATACCGTAATTTGCATGGGAACATTTTCTCCTGAGTTTGTTGCAGCAATTACCGCCTTCCCGCCGTTTCGTGCGCTGCAAGTGCTTGCGGGTGTTTCAAGTAAAGCGAATTGAATAAAAATTCTGTTGATTGACGGAGATTCTATAAATAACATTTTGAACTGGCTTTTGATTGTCAGTTCTCTTCGCTTTTGTATTGTATCTGGTAATTCAGGGCAACAATTGTAACATGTGAACTTTTCTTATGCTTGCGCTCACGTGCGTGCACTTTGGACAGAGCGTGAGAATGCGTGAATGATTATAACGGATATACATATAAAATAGTAGGGACTCTTGAGAAAAAGTATCAAAATTACTCTGTATCTTATTATATTGTTATATTTTAGTCCTGAGTTTAGTATATATTTGTCATACGGGTAAATTAAACTAACAAAAAACAATTTTTACAAATCCAAAATGTTTTCCAACTTAATCGCAAAATTGCAATACTTTAATTACTTATTTTTAAAACTCTAAAAATATAATATAAACAAATTCTTCTGCCGCATCGAATAATAAAGTTTTCCACACATAAACTTCATTTTATTCGCTCAGTTTATAAGTCAGCTATATGCTATAGTGAACCGATATGCGTAATGCAATAGATTCGTAAATTGTAGCGTTGCCTCAGACAATAATATATACCAAATTTCGCGAAGATATCTCCTCAAGTAAAAAGGTGTTCTATACAAAAACTTGATTTTGCTCGGTTAGTTTATATGACAGCTACATCCAATGGTGATCCGATCTGAACGATATCTTCTTGGATTATAGCGAAGCTTTTGGCAGCAAGGATTTTGATCGATCCGTTTGAGTGGCAGCTATATCATATAGTTGTCTGATATCGGCGGATGCAACGAATGACCAGTTTGTTGAAGAAAAAAGCTGTTATGGAAAATTTCAGATTGATATCTCAAAAACTGAGGATTTAATATATATACTTTTAAATTTATATATATGTATGTATATTTTATAGGATCTTCTATGTGTAGTAGTTTCTGGCATATCCGACTATTGGTTCGCTCGTTATGCATCTTAAAGACTTGAAATGTTATAAATTCAAATAAATAAATTCGAGGCGTTAAAGCGATATTTTATAAATCGATTGAGCTTAGTCTGTGCAGTGTCGTATTCTATTCTTCTGTTGCTAAAGCTCTGCGAAGTCTATATATTAAACTTTCGGCCACAAAAAATTATCTTCCGGCTCCATGGTAACCCAAGTGCTATTTTTAGCACTTTTTTAAAGAAGATTTGAGAATTTTTCAAAAGCCTCCACATTTGCAACTCTTCAATTAGAGTAGAAGAGCGGTTTAATAATAGAAAAGTCGCTGCAATTTGTTAATTGTGAACTGAGAGCCATGTATGAGCTTTTGAAAATCTTTTTCTTTTTCATTTAAATTTTTTTTTTCATCTGACTAAGCAAGAAATTGAGTTTCTATCAGTTTCTCAGCAATGTATTTCAATTCTTAATTGTTTGCTTCTCACCATATAAAAAACAATAATATAAACCATGTGAGAAGAATCATGGTGTCTCATAAATTAATGATCACTCCCTAAAGCAATAAACACTCCTTTAAATACAAACACACATCTACTAAAGTATGTCCCCACACACATTGCTATATAGTTTACTGACATAAAAGTTAACTGCAAATGTATTTGGTTAGTAGTGCTCTTTAGCTACTCAAACAAGGCAGGCAAAACTGATAGCAGCGTACCGATATGGCAAAATGTTACAGCAGCTTTGTTTCAACCGTTTTTTTAATGGTGAGAGAAACTTTGAAATGAAATGCATATTTAATACAAAAGATGCTTAAAGCTCGACCGGTTTTAATTTATTCTCTACCCCCGCATAGTTCGTCGTGTTACAGCAGTGCTCTCTGCTTGATTTGGTGAGCAGTGCTGATGCTGAGTCAACAAATTCACCGCTTTTGGAAAAATTAACAGCAGATCACATATTCTTTCCGGATGAAATTATGGCGAAGCGAGTTGAATATCAGGATCTCATCGATCCCATTTCGGGCGAAGACGAGGATGAAGAGTCATACGAATTTAAAACTGCTACGGTGTCAGCAACAGAGGAAATTTTGTCTGCTACAAATGACACAGTAATCAGCTATGTGATATTTCCCAAATCCGCTGAGAAAATTTTTCATTGAATAGTTGTCTGTAGAATTATTTCTGTAACTCAAAATATACTTAAACTTTAGCTTCAAGACTTTTTCCCAGTATTCTTAAAATATGTATAAATATGCTCTTTGTTTTAGGCTGTCACACTAAGTGTGCCCCTTGAACTTTACATTTTTTGATTCAATATTAAAATTATTTTCTTTATATATTTCTAACGACATTTTAAGCTTAACCGCAATCAAATTTGTTATATTATTCTGATGTACGCTACTTTGCTTGCTTGAAATAAATTTCCTACAGGGTGAAATTGTAACTAAATATTGAGTCTCGGAAGCGATGTTGCATTTTTAGCATTTTAATTGAAAATGCTCAAGTGGATTTATTGAATTTAAAATAGTTGTATATTTGAAAGCTAACAATTTTCATGGTATTAAGCGGAATTAAAGTCTTTTGTATACTGAATTCTATATTTAGATGAACTGAATATTTTTCAGTAGTGCTAATGGAAGCTCCGCTCAGCCCAGTTCACTAAGCTTTGAAATTTCCTGTGAATATTTACACAATTTAGCACTATTTTAGAAAATAGAAAACTCATTTATTGAGTATTTTTTTTTTCAGACGTCATACTCAGTAATACACAGATATCTATATAATAAATATATATATATATGCATATATACATTGAAATAAGATTAATGCCAGTTTATGAATAGAAACGTTCATATGTGAAATAAAATACTGCGAGTTTTTAAAAATACAGGCAAGTACAAAAGTGCCTGCAGACGAAACAGATGCTTTACATAGTAAATATAAATATATGATTATATTATATAATATTTGTAAAAATGTATGTATGCGAACAAGTACTTGCCCTTTCAGCACCATTGATTCATATTTTATGTATGTTAATGAAGTGCATTTCGTTAAATTAAGTGGATAAAAATAAACTAATTGGATATTGGCTGCATTCAAGGTGACCTGTTGACCGGTATTAATTAGCTTAACTCTCCTCTAGCTTGAGGTTGAAGTGAAAATTGATAATTATTGCATTTACAATGCGATCAGTTATATAATTTTACATGTTGAAAAGGGCAATAAAAATTATTGAATAATTTTAAGCCCACACGTTCGTATAACAAAGTAAAGAGAGCTCTGTCATAAATTAGGCGACTAGAAAAGACGAGTAGACTAAAGAGTTTGGTGGGAATAACATAGCGCTAACGCATGTTGGTTAGGTCGTGATATTTTAGTGAAGTGAAAAAAACAAAACAGCCTTACATATTGAAAACGTTCATGAATATAATAAAACAAAGAAATAGATTTTTTTCGAAATGATTACACACAAAAAAAAAAAATAAAAAAGAGCTTTGCTAACTAATTTATTAAAAAATAGACAAGAAAAAACGTTAACTACGGCGGCACCAAAGCTATACTTGTAGTAGCCTTAACAGGTGCTTTTTCTATAGCATAAAATAGTATAAAAATATAATTTTCTTGATTTTGATCGGCCAGTTTGTATGGCAGCTTATGCTATAGTAATCCGATATGAACAATTTCTTCGAAAATTGTATCGTTGCTCTGGGCCAATAAGCTGTGCCAAATTTTGTTAAGATAGGTATTTCATGTTACAAACTTCGTGGCAAACTTAATATACCAAAATAACAATAATAAGTAAATAAAAACATCATAAAAATTATTAATTTAGTACAAAATCTCTTTGTTTATCCATGTGAATTATGAGAGTTAAATTGCTTTAATTTTTATTGCATTTTATGTAGTGTTTTTCTGTCATTGACTGCCATTTTCCGCATATTGTTGGTTTTTAGGCGGAATTACACTTCGCAAATTGTTTCAAATTATTTAAAGCACTTCAGAAAACAACCATTATAGCTACACCGTTAATTGATAAACACACATTTAACCAATTACATACATGAATACGTTACAAATACAATATTTTCGAGTAAGTAAATCTGTTTTCACTCTTTTTCATTACCAGTATGCCACACCATTTACTCCATTTCTAACATTTGCCACATAATTGCCGGAATGAATTTTATTTATGAATAAGTGATGAAATAATTTTTATGAATACCACAAATGAAAGTGAAAAAGAAAACTAATAATATTACATAACGAAAAAAAAACGTGAAATAAAATGGCAAAACCTTAAATGGCACGGTTGCATGTGAATATGTGTGCACATATTTAATTACCGTTTGCCGACGATGTAAAGTGGAAAACTTTGTGTGGAGCAAAAAATTTGCATAACGCCATTTCCACAGCAAATTACTGGCGAAAAGGTAGCCAAAACATATAGTTGTTGTTGTTGCGAAATAAAAAGTTTCGTGCTTAACTATATGCGCTGGCTTGATGGCAAGGTGTGGCATTCGGCAAATAAAAAAATTGCACAGAATTTATGCAAAATACAGATATTATGTAGATTTTCAGCAATTAAAGCTTTAACTTACTATTTTATTACATTAAAGTACTAAGTTAATTTAATTCATGATTGCGTACATTAGTAAGAAGTTTTAAAATTAATTTAAAATTAAATGGGAATAAAATAGATTATTAATATTGAATTCGCGTGTATTTTCTAAAAAAAAAAAATATTTCTTAAACTTAAAAATGTATTAAATAAAAAACAATTTTTTTTACCAGAGCAAGTTTTTACATTAAATTTAGGACAAACCCTAGCTAGAAATTAAAAAAATAATTGAATTCTGAAAAAAAATGATAAAAAATAAAATGCACCTAAAAAAAGAAAATTTAACTAATTTTATTTTTAAGAGTTTTCTTTGTTATCCACGCACTTCGCACATTGACCTTAAATTCCTTTTTGTCAAAATTCGTCTGCTGTTCACTAAAGCAGTACTTTAAAAGTCTCACAAGAGCACTTTTATTAACCCAATTATAAAGTTTTATTAACCATCGTAAACTTCACGGCTTACATAAAAGATTTACGCCATACATTATATGGCTCAAACTTTTAGCAAACCATCAACGCTTTGCGTTCCTCTCGTTTGCGCGTATAACAGGTAGGACGGCTTATCGTACGCTGCGTATGCGTGACATGCTTACACACACACACCCAGAAACACACGCAAATAGCTGTTTTCACTGGTGCAGCTTTACTATATATGGGTGTGAGTGTGTGTTTTACAGCATTTCAGCGCTCTTATAAAGCTAGCACTTCTTGAACTCGAGTGGATATACCTGTGATATTTTGCACGTCTTGCGTTTAAATTTTATAGCAACGCTTCCTTCTTATTTTCGCTGTTTTCAACACACACGCTCAGTTGAGTGACTTTTGTATGACAGCTGATAGGCGTGACATTGAATATATGAGAAACAGAAATGTGTAAGTTGCTTGGTGTGCAGAGATTGCTGTGAAGAATAGCTTCAAATACAGGCTATTTAAACTTTATTAAATATAAGCTTTATTTTGGTGTCTTCAAATTCTGAGCACTTTTGTTAATTGAAAAAATGTATAGCTTGCTGAAAGGTTATGCCTCATTAAAGTGAAAGGAAAAAAAAGTCGCGTTACTCGTCGTTAGGGTTTGTACTTTGTGGTCATTGGGGAAATAAAACAATAACGGTTTCTTGAGTACTAGACTAGATTAGATAAGGATAGAGTAATGCACCTATGGTCTATTGTGCCCTCTCTTAAGTACTACAAATGTCATTATCGTATGAATCAACAAAACTGGAAAAAAAATATTTTTTCATAAAATGGCGGCTGCTCTAAAATAAATTTCGATTTCTTCACAATTTCTTTACTTTCCTCACAATTTTTAAATATATTACAAATCAGAAATTTACAGTTTTTAGTTGCTCATAAGTTAGTGAAATAGAGATACTTGCCAAATTTCTAGTAAGTAGACTGATTAGAACTTAAAATATTGTGCCGACCGAATCGAAAAAAGTAATTTCCAGAAAAAAGCATTTAAAACTTCCTCGTCCGCCTAAATCAGTCTAGTTGTCCTGACATTAAAGCAGCTATAAATTCTAAAATAGCTTTAGTTTTTAAAAATCCGATTAGTCAGATATTTTTGTACATAATTTATCGAAATGAAAAATATTTTTTTTTGTCAAGTTTTTAAAGAGAAATGTTTTTAGTCAATGTAGTTGCATTTGGTTATTCTTTTGTATATGGTTGCCATAGTCATTATAAATTGCAGATAGAGTTATTTATATAGTCTCAGAATTTGAGCTTTTAAGTAAGATACCTTAAATTATATGAACTATTAGACCATAGTCGTAAAATGTAGCATTTTGTGCCAGTAGAAACATTGCTTCTTTGGTTAAGCGATGATTTTCTTTCAAAGCAAGTCTTTTTACAATTCGTCCATGCACATGTGTGGTGTGATTTCTTCATTGTATTACAGCGTATAAGTAGAAAGTATATTTATTTTATTCGGTGCTTGCCCACAACATAAATGTATACTTATATATCGTCGGTTAAAGTACAAAACCTCAGCAGCCAAGTTCAGCTTATAACCCTTGCTCTTTTCCTAATGCACGAACCATTGCATTGATCCTGCAAGCAATAAATTTCCGCTGTTATATATATAAATATATATATATATACGTATGTATATACTTATTTGAGTTTTTAATAACACACAGTTTCTAGGCACTTTGTTGCCATAATCGATTTTAAAGTGAGCAATAAAGCATTTTTATTGCATACTTAGCGAGCAGCAAATAGTGCAAATAATATAAAAGTGAAACATTGATAATGTAGATCCAGTGAGTATGAACTTATGACTTATATATGTATGTATAACCCTGTATGTTAGTATATGTTAGCATGACCTTACAAAACATTCAATTGGGACGCGCTACATCGAACAAATATTTTAACACTTATTATTGTTCACATAGTTCATGGACAGTTCATGATTTATTGATGGACCTTCAGTTTAAGAAATGCAAATGCATTGATATTCTTAAGCAGATTAATATACTATATAAATGTGAGTATAGAGACTCAATCAGCAGTATGCACTTTCCCTTATAAAGTTTCCTGAGCTGATGTTTTTGTTTCAATATTATAAATATCAGGCTGTGACGTCTATAATATCAACAATCTGCATTTCATTGAGACAAAATGATGGATATAGCACACTTCGAGTTTATCTTCGATATGTGTGCTATTAAGTAGCCAATGTGAAGGAAAGACTTGACAAAAATCTCAAATTAATTTAATTTCCCAATAAATCAGCACTATATTTGTAGATAAGGGATGTGGTTGGTGCTTAAGGGACACCAAGTAAATATGCAGAATGAAATATTAAAACAATAATTCATTCTGTATATAGTTCTCCATACAATGACCTACTAGCTTGGTAGGCCAAAAACGACCAACCTTTTGATTAAAGTTCAACTTTTTATTTAAAAAACACCACCATTTTGTCAGTCATACGGACACTATTTTCTAGATAATTTTTTTTTATATTTCAATCACGGAGAAGTCCAGATTAACTGCAACAGCGGACACCCTTTTCTTAGCGCCGTCGGAGATTGCAACTCGAGAAATATTTAATGGGTGTTCCTAATAGTTCAAACCAAAAAACAAAATATATTATATATTGTAGAATCAAATTTATTTTCAGAATTATTTGACTTTAAATTACAGCCTTTAAGCAAGTTTCTTTAAATACCATATAACAAATTCGTGAACAAATGCTCAAAATGTTGCTCATACGCACCCACACTCACTACTAAAAATATGATTTTACTGTGCATGAGCAGTACATATTTTATTATGATGACTTTTTTATATTTTTATTTATAATATTTAAGCTGCTTCTTCTGTATATTCACATGCAAGTACAGTAGCATTTTAATCTCACATTATTTTATATTTTCAATAAAAATCGAGCACAAATTCACAATTGCACACTTAAAGTCTCCCGCGTGGTTGCATGTAACGACGAAGGCATTTCGATCGCTGAATTTATTTGCTTGCTTGTTATATTTTTTTTTTTGTTACATTTCAGTTGACAGCCTTACAATCACAGCTATATAATAACAGCTTTGAATTTTGTATATAAATGTGTCCTTGCAAATATTCACGCCCGAGCAACACCTTGTCGAGTGTTATTGCCGAGGCAGCCGTAATTTCACGGCGCCTCACTTAAAACAAGGCTTCACACGCCTTTGTGCATTACATTTCTTTGTTACTTCGCGCTTTCATTTCATTTGTAGTGTTTCTCCCTTTGTGTTTATGTATAAGTTCCTTGCTTTTATTTGCAACAGTATCCAAGCCTGCCTTTTGTTTGTGCTTTGTGTTTCTAAAATTGGGCATTTTGTTTGTTTTCCAACTTTCTACTTCATTTGCTCATCAGCATTTGTCTGCTTGCGTATGTGTGTTGGTGTTGTGTATGTGTTGTAGTGTATATGTTCCCCATGTGCTTTCATTTCTTTGCAAGCGTATGTCTTTCAGTTTGCTTGCGTTAAATAAAGCATACGTTTCTGATGTGCAAATTATCTGGTGTTTGCTGTATTAGCATATAAATTCACATTATAATTTTATTCCTTACATTTCACCTATGTGAAGATACACGCATCGATGTTTAGCTGTGTGTATAAACCACAGATAATACGAGTTTAATGTTACTTGCGTAGGATTTCTATAAAGCATTGTTCTTGTGTTGTTTTTTTATTGTCTGTGCATACATAACGGTCTACTAGAAGCAAGGGCTGTTGCGCAGAGTATTCACTTGTTTATGCTCATTGATTATGTTAACTTGAGTAATCAGAATCTGGCTTATTTACATAATCTAAGAGCTCACTAATTATTTCGATGGATTGAATTGCTTTCAAAAGCTTGACTAATTTTGCTCTTTTTTTCGACATAAATTTTGAGTTTTAAGTATAATAATGTACTATCTACTGTTTTATGTGTCTTTTATAATATGACTGTTGACCCACAAACGAAATATCTAAATTTGTATAACTTGAGATTATTTAAACTTTAAAAGGCCTTACTTCTTCCATTCCCAATCAATTTATGGCATTAGAAATAAGCTTTGTTTGAATCTGTTGTGGAAAAATACTATATAGTATACAGTATACCTATATAGGTTAGATTTGGTTATGTCATGTAGTTGATTCTCGCAGCAAAAGTAATATTTGGACAGCTGTGAACTCAAAGCATCTAGCCATGGATCACCAGACTTTTATAGATCAACGAAGCGCTTGAACCTACTACAAATATATTATGTTGGCTAATTTAACAATCTCAGCAACTTCGCCAGATTCGTCGAAAGTGTGTCTAGCAAGTTGTTTCGATCTCAGTCTGGCAAAAGCTGAACAGTTGAGAAGAAAGTGTGTAAATAATTCCACCTCGGCTTTTTCTACATTGTCAAGCTGTCAATAAATAGAGAAAGAAGATACTATATAATATCTTCTATGCGAATGCAATACTTTAGGAAAATTACTACGACTACTATAGGAAAAGAATTACAACTGTCAGTCGAGAATTTATTGACGGTGTCTCGGAGGTTACACAAATAAAACTTTTGATACTGAGGAACTTTATCAGTAGCACACGCTGCAGGTAGGTCGTAATAGAGTGAGGGGATTTCAGTTCAATTTCATCACGCAGCAAGTGAACCTATTGGAGTGTGTCCAGTCAGAACGCTTACCATGACGGCGGAATAAACCTTGCTAAGAGCAAGTAGTTCAGAGGACTACTTGCGTTACACTTTGGGCAAGACGATAGAAGAAGATTTCGCAGTCGTACAAGTTTTGGTTACATCCCTTGCCAAGCTCACGGGAGATCCAAGTAACCGACGCTAGAGTCGACGAAGGCAGACGAGTATCCACGTTGCCAATGCGATAAAATTTGAGTAATATTGCCCTATCTGGCAAACTAAACGGCTTTGTCATTGGCAGCGCCACCCAAACCAGTCGGACAACAAAATAGCTTGATGCTATTGATAAAGATGTAAAATCTTTCTTTACAGGTCTTGAGCGTACTGTCTGCGTGTTCAAGGTCAGTATTGCAGTGCTTTATCAGCAAGAACCACTTTATTAAACGTACTTGGAATGTATAAAAAAATTCAATTTTGAATTAAAAGTTCCTAGCTAAAACAATATTTATTTTTGTTTTCGCGAAAACATAAAATACTTGTATGGCTGATGTCCTTCAGTTGTCATATATTTCGTTAAAGAAAGTTCATTCATTCAACAGTAATTTTAAATTTCTAAAACAACTATCTTTTGTATGACAATTAAAATTATAGTCATTCCTTCAGATCACTCAAAAATTCCTTAATTTGATAAAATAAAAATAAATGTGCGTATTTCACTTCTTTGAAATTTACAATTTTTTGAAATCCATAACTTTTATTTAGGTAAAAAAGAATAAAATAAAAAAAAAATTATTTCACTTATATCTTTCTTTCATCTTCGTGCATAGCTTTCCACTTGATTCGAAAAACTATGCTTGTTAGCTTCAGAACACAATAAATTTAGTATTATTCAAATATTTATAGCAAAAATATGTTCTTGTATGAAGAGTTAAATTGTATATTTTCTTACAAGCTAAATTGGACAAATATTCCACTATATTTCACAAATACATAGAGAAATTTATGTTGTCTTGTCACCTAAAGCTTTAGTTATTTGTGACAACCATTAAAACACATTTCTGTACGCAATATTAATTATGGTTGTCTACTGGCACGTGTACATATAGCTAACATATATATTTAGTAGCAACAACAACCGCAAGCAAATAAATGTGCAATTAAAGAGGCGTGAAAGTGTTGAAGTGACAATTTGGCATAAAAAAGGTTGGATGGAAATAATAAATGGTTAGTTTGTGGAAAATGTATGGAAAAAGTGGACACTTATATGTATAGGTGTGTTAAATTTGATGTACTTGTATATCTAAGATTGTCTTAACATGATTAATTAAAATAGTACTGCCCGTAATTATTTTTGAGCTCCAGGTTATTATCTTGTATGACGAGATTATTTAGATTTTGGAAAAAATATATGGTAGTGATGAATATTTTGACTTTTTCCATTTGAACGTCATTAAAAAAACATTAAAAAACTATTTGTTTGCTTAAAGTTGAATGAGTAATTGTGGATTAGACTTTACTAGAATCATATGACATATTTAAATTTTGTATAAGAAAATTTTAAAACGTTTGGAACTCATGTGGTTGCATACTATATCACAATGAATAGAAGTTTTTCAATCATATATTTCCAAATATTTCTCTACATTTAGAAGCCAAATTGAAGCCAAATTGAAAAACTATTTTACTCTGTAGCAAAAGGTTGCGAGAGTATAAAAAATGCCATTTGGACATTATTTCTCTAAAATAATTTTAAATTTTACATTCAAGATTTCTTTCTTAAAGAAAAATATTTAAATCACTTTAATAAATTTTTTTTTTGCAGATTTTGTCAACTCATGCGCGTTCTAAAAACAAGATAAGTGAAAAGTGCATTGCAGCATTTAAATAATATGAAACCAGCTGTTTCACTAATGGAGAAACCTTTTTCAAATCACATTGCAAGAAAAACTATGAAAAGTTAGACAACTTTCATGAAAATATGAAATTAGCTAAAACAGCTAAGCACCGAGGTGAGTAGTCATCAAATGTAGTTTAGTTCAACATAAAATAAGAAGCTTTAATTTTGCAGCTTGCTTCCAGCTTTCGTAAAATATTATATAAGCTATATTCAATGTGAATTTCAGTTATTATAAATAAGTTTTATTAAAGGAATTCCAGCAATAAAGTCATTATACTAGCATAATCAATCTATAATGTTTTATATGGCAAAAACCCACCGGAAAACAATAGCAAATAAGGGTAAACAAATATTTGTCTTACTTTCCATCGGTGAATTTGTATGGCAGCTATAAGCTATCGTTGTGCATTCTAAACAATATGTGCGGAGATTGTAGTGTTGCCTTAGACAATAATCGATGCCGGATTACGTGAAGCTAACTTGTCAAATTAAAAAGTTTGCCATACAAGGACTTAAGTTTAGTTGTTCAAACGCATGGTAGCTATAGGCTATAGTTGTCTGATCTAAATCATTTCCTAAGATATTATAGCGATGGTTTGGCTTATAACCTAGGCTAAATTTTGTTAAGATACCTCGTGAATACAAAAACTTTTCCATACAAGAACTTAAGCTTGAACGGTCTATTTGTATAACAGCTACTATATGCTATAACGATATACGATATAGTACCGTCAAAAGAGCAGACAGACAGACGGACATGGCTAAATCAACATGCATATATTTTGTAAGGTCCGTGACGTTTTCTTTTGGGCATTACAAACATCGTGACAAAATTAACATACCCTGTTCAGGGTATAATGATACAATCCTTGAGTGCGCCATTGCGTATGAGTGACATTTGTAGACCTATAAAGAGCAGCGCATGCTTTAATGCTTCACAGTTCAAAGTATTTTCTTATTACATTAATACTACTTAAGAACAATACACTTTTTGTTGTAATAAAAATTTCAACTCAACTCAAGAAATAACTTGCCGACTTTTTATTTAATCAATTTGCGCCTTTTATCTATTCACAAGCAAAGGTAATTGCTTTTCGAGTTCACATCTCATGCTAATCTCAAATACCTTTTGCCTTTTAACAATGCATAATTTAATGATAGAAACAGAATGAAATGAAAAACTATCATTCGTTGTATACATTTTTGCGTCCCAGCAATTCAACTAAAATTACAAATCAACAAATGGCATTGGCGCAAACAAGAAGAAATGCCCGGCATTCATTCCGCATTATTCAAATTGACTGCACAGTCTAGCAATGTCAACTAGGCAACGCCGAAGATATAAATGCAAATTAAAACTGGCAGCAATGGTCGGGCAGTAGATTAGTGTAGCGCCAGCAAGGCTGCCACGTTCCGGAAGTGGGGAGGGGTGTGATGATGTGTATATGCAAACTGTGCGCCGGATTACAATGCTCACGTTGGCATTGAAAATATTTTATTATTGTAATTTGTAAGTAAGAATGAAAATAGTGAAAGTGAAAATAGTTGCTCGTTGATGGCATGCTGGTCGGGCTCTAGTTGCTTTCCTAAAAAAAGCCAACTAATTAAATTCCCTATAATTGAGTAATGCACAACGGGCAGGTAAAATGGAAAACTCTGTCATCAGTTGAGAATTGTTGCGGTGTCAATTAAATGCTGTTCAGTGTGAACTCAATTTGATTGGTGGAAATTGCAGGAAATTTCAATGTGCAGAAAAGAGCTTTTCTAAAATAGGAAACCAATAAATGATGATACATAGAAATAGTTTACAATTTAGAGCATAAATGATAAGAATTAATGCGATAGCTGGCATTTCAAGGACACGCCGAATAAACTCAATTAATTTTAGAGCACACATAAACAGTTTATATTTTATATAGGAGCGCTTATTCGTTAGTTCTTATAACATACTTTATGGAATATTATTTAAGCCGTGAACAAGTTTTTAAAAATAATTTTAGTTAGTTATTTCATGAGCTTTCACACTTCCTGCAGCTAAATATTCTATTTTCAACAAATATATGTGGTTCCCAAGTACTTCCATATTTGCTTCTACAAACACATGTGTTAGTGTGCAAAGCAGCTCCCAGCTACATCCTCTTAATCACGTGGCTTAACATGTGCATGCAGCAACTTTTCAACAACTTTTTAAATGTAACTAAGCTCAGCTTAGTTGCAACTTACCCTCGTTTGCGTTGAGATGTCGCTGGTGGTTGAAAACCACTCTAACAATAGACAATGTTGCTTAGTGGTGATATGGGATTTAAAACTTTTGTAAAATGCATGCATTTCTGTGTAAATAGCAGACGTAATGGCTACGCATGAGCTTACTAACTGTTTCATACTATCTAAAATATACTAGTTAATATGGCAGTGATTTCTATATTTTATTTATAATGTTTCGCATTAACATATCACAAACTTTTATTTAAAAATTAAATAATTAAAATTAACTTCTACAGAATTTAATACACTTCAATAATATTGAAAATTGTTTGATATCGTTGGTTACGTAGCCGATATCCCGCAAAACTACGAAAAAATTTGTCATCTTAAAGCCAAAGCATCAAAAAAAAAAATATATATATTTTTTTAAATATTTATTTAATTTTTTTTAAATATATATTTTTTTTGATATTTTTTTTTTTGAAATTTTTTTCTTGATATTTTGAGGTTTGACAAAATGACGACTTCGCAAACTTCAGAGTTGCTTAAACTATCGATTAATATCAAAAGTTTTAGTCCTCGATCATTACCTAACTAATATATATATACTGTAAGGAACTTCAAGACGATCAGTTTAGCCGTTTAGAAGAAATTTTACTCACATACTTGTATTCTTAATAGCGTTTCGAGAAAAGCACGTTTTAAGTTTTGTGAGCCAAGTACGCTCTTATATCGAAAAATATCATATCAACTTAAAATTTCTCGAGAATATTCTCAAATATATGTACATACGATATATAATATATGCAAAAAAACATTTTTTGTTAAATTTCCAAATGCGTTTATATGAATGTTGGCTGAAGATTCAGACAGATAGATATGCACACTTGTCTACGATTTATTCTTCATAAATGCAGTTTCGATGACTCTTATCACCTACACCATAAAACATAACAAATTCATATTCAAAAAATATTTTTTTTTTCAATTTCTACCGCTCTCTTAACTTTCCCAACAGCATCCCATAAGCAGAAGTTCTACATACGCCATGGCAGCCTCATTAAAGCGCATTAACTAAGCAGAATATATGTTACAAATATTTTCATTCAATCAAATCTGGCAACTGCGCCATGAAGTGAAAGATTTTTCAATGTGAAAATTCAATTCCATCTCGCTTATATTAAATGCTGAAAATCTAAGCGTAAAACTTGTTACAACTCAGCGTGGGTGCGACCAAGCCGAACGCTGAGCGAAACGAAAAACTAGAATACCACAAGCTGAAACCCAAATGAGGATGTAAAAACTGCGCGCCGAGATGTAACAAAATATAATGAAAAGCCTTGCGAACAACCGAAAAAATGTAAAGCAAAACAAATTTAATATTTTTGTTGTTGCTGGCTGGCTTGCTTGTGGCAGTGTATATGAGTGGAATGGGAAACGGCAAAAATTGCTTCCGCTCATGCACTCAGTCGTTTAGCGTATAAAATATATATTTATTATGCTGTGTTGTTGCTGCAGTGGCTGAAATGAAAGCAAAAAAAGTGCAAATACCAAAAAACAAAAAAACAACTTGTAAACAAAGCGATGAAAAATCGCAGGCAAAGAATTTATTGCCAAGTGTCAAGGGTGTACGATTACAGCTGCGAGAGTGTTGCAAGAAGAATCTGTTGCTGTCTGTGAGGCTGAGCTACCTCGCTGCTGTTTTGGCTAGCGGTATTTGTAAATAACACTTACACATACCTAAATCTGTAATCTTACACATGAGTGTAATGCACAATACAATCGCAAACTTACACCAAAACACACATGAGCATAAAGATGTAGATATTAGTACATATGTGCATATCTTGTTTGCTTACATTTGTGCAGCTTAGTTGGGGGAGACTACCACACATATGTATATACCAACAATTTCAAGTGCGACCTTCGCCGAGCAAAAGTAAATCTGAAGGCACGCTTATGGTTGCTCGGCTGGCGCATGAGTATTTAGGCGCAAGCAATTGTAGACGTGCAACAACTGTAGATATAAAAAAATTTGAGATTATATGAATTTATTTACTTAAGCGAATAATAAGTTATATTCAGGAGACCACATTTTTTGAGCAGCAAATTTTCTAACCAATTGCTTTCACTTAGATTAAGTCACGCGTTTAAAAATGTTTAAAATAATTTTTTTTTACGAAATTTAGCTGGTATTCTTTGTTTTGCTGTTCTCGAAGGAGACAAGAAAAAGAATTTTTTAATACTTATGAATATACAAATCTTTTTTCCTTGACTTGGTCTGTAAAAAAATGGCGTTTTCCTGCAAGCACCATGGGTTATGGGGTCATAGCTACTTGCGAGTTGCAAAAAATCAAATGTTGTTTTGCATTTACATATATAAATCGAATGTATGCATATTTGAAAATATTCTAAAAAATGTTTAAGTGATCTGGTAAACTCTTTCCGAGCTATGAGAGTATTTGTAAGAATTTTTTACTTAGTCTAGTCGGCACACAAAACTATAAACGCGTTTTTTTCGAAACGCTGTTTTCAGAGATAAGTTAAAAATTTCTGCGCGACGGTGGGACCGATCGTAAATTTCCACACAACCTTGATATATTAAACAGGTTATGATCGAAGAAATAAGATTTTTGATAATAATTTATATTTTTAAGCCACTATAAACGTTTTTTTGGAGAGTAAGCCATATTGCCATAAAACTAAATTTGATTATTTATCTATAGTAAAAATATATAATCTATAGTAATAATAAATGTTTTGAATTTTGGAATTGAAATAATTTTAAGCAGAAAAATCCTGCTCACCTCCAGACAGCTGTTTTCGGTAATCCCCCTTGAGTGTTTATAAATAAATTACCGATTATTAAATAAAATTAAATTTTGTTAATGTATAGCAATATACACTCCAATGATCTTGAAATCTCTCTCTCATCTTAAAAGCGGAAGTACTAGGTATAGAGAGACTTGTCAATTTCTATTGAATAACTAAGAGAGGATACAGAAAGCAACCATATACATGGATAGTCAGGCGGTATGGCTAACCTTGTCGACGCCATAGAATAATTCCAGCGTACACAAAAATTGCAAGAAAACTTTAAGCTCACTGGTCAACTCCAATTCTGCATTATTTGAGTTTCCGGCAACGATAAAGCAGACAAGCTTGTCAAGTTTGAAGCCTCTTTAGACAAAACTGAGTTGGCGTAAATACCATGCTTGCACCTACCTACCTAGCCTTTGAGCGCAGATTGCTTGTTGCTTTCGAAGTAGCAGGTTTAACTTAGCAAACATTTTTGTTATGCTTATGATATTAATAAATTATTTAAATATTGGCTTGGACTGTTGAAAAATGGTATTTTCATACAAGCACAAAGGATTAATTTCCATTTTATGTCCATAAAAGCATCAAAGTAACTTCCAAATGAAGTCCAGTTCAGTTTCAAAAGCAGAAATGAAATGGCTTTTGCAAAGGAATTTTTAGTATGATACTTTCAGTCTTTCTATAATTACAATTTTTGACTCAGTCGTGCCTGGAACCTATAAAATACCGAAAGGCTTTCATATACTCAAGTAGTGTACCTTTCAAGCTGTTAAAATTCAGTACACCAAATGGGCGAAAGGTTGCATGAATTTCAAAACTGCAATTACAAGCGTCATAAATGCGCTTAAATTGCGAAGCTTAATCTCTCTCAGTTGCATAGCTAAAATTTTTAACCTCGACAAATGCGCTCTGCGAAAGCATAGTGACAAAATATGCTAAAAACAGCTGCAAGGCGAGCTGCACATATCTCAATATATTTAACCTTTGTTTCTCTTTGTCGCATACATATGTGCATATACTATATATATGTATATGTAGATGTTTTTTCAGCATGCGACTTAAGTGTCCTTAGGCATATTTATACCGCATGCAGCGTAGTTTTTCAGTGCCATTGCCATGGTTCGCAGCTCATAGGCCTGGGCAATAGGGTAGAAAAAAGAGATTGAAATACAGACTTGGCCATTTAGACACATGCAGTCACGTACAAGTATATGCTGCCTTCTAAAGGTATATGCGCATGTGTGCAAATGTAAGTGTATGTAGTTAGTGTAACAAAAGCTCTGTACCTTTTAACTTGTATGTAAGCATCATTGACATATGACACTAGGCATTCAGCCTTCGAGCTTAATTTTCTAGCTTAAAGCATATATTCTTGCCTTCAACTAGGTATATAGCTATTTACTGCCAAGTGTCTACTTCCGCTCGTCTACTGACATCACAATGCTAATAAAAGTTTGCCATAAAATATGTTGATGCCACTACCATACCTTAAATATGCAGTATTGTAGTGACTACAATAACGGTGAATTGTTGCGAAATTATAACATCAATTAACAGTGTTAAAGAATCAACCTCTCCTTCAGAGTTCCCTCAAGTTGAAGACAATATTTCGCTTGCCTTGCCAATCTACATAAATTCTACCCACTTTTGCATAGTAATCCTTGCTCAGATACAAACATACAGCTATAACTGTACAGCTTTGCTAGGATATGCAAGTAATTTGTGTTTACCAACTTTGTCTTTATTCTTGCTTATTCCTGACTCCCATAATGCCACCTAATTGAATAATTTGCACAAATTGCATTTTAATTGGCTAATGGAACAGCATAACGTCTTAGTGGATATATTTAAATATATAAATAGGACAATTGGTTTATATGGTATATTGCATAGTACATAAAAGAGCATAATTAACTACATTTCCAGTCAACAAGGGAATTGTAGAAGTTAAGAATCGGAAGAGTGATTTTGAATTAATGAAGTGGTTATAAATTCAAGTCTCTTAGTACGCTGTTGCCGACAGAACGTGCTTAAAATATTATATACAGACTCATTTATTATTTTTTCTTGAAAAACTTTTCATTTAACTTTTAAAAACTTTTTTTTTCAGCCGATGGTTTTTCCATAGAAACGCGGTAAAAAACTTTTGCAAGGAATACATTTAAGGAAACTTTAATCTCTATCGCTTTTTCTTAATTCGTTTGTAGCGGATTTTTTGGAAGTTAGTGTCAAAATAAACACTATTGCTGGGAACTAACGTTAGTAACTTTACTCAAATGTAACCTAAGGGGTTACATTCGCTTGTGAATTTCAAAAAATCGGTTTTTATTTGCTTATATGCTCGAATGACAATATTCTTGACAATATTCTTCGAAAATTCGAAGTTTATCCGGGAAGTAGTTTAGGGAATATGAGCGCACTCGTATTGCTAAGAATTTTTTAACTTAGTGTAAGCGTTGAGGAAAATTTTTCCGAAAAGGCTGGAACTTGAAAGTTTGGCACGTCCTTTTTATAAATATGGGTCAGGTAATGAATAAAGGAAAAAGATTTTTGTTAATAATTTTAAATATTTATATCACCCGATATGTAATTTTTTTTTAAAACATGACTGAAATTTGTCAAAAATCTCAATTTTTACTAATCTCTTGATTTGTATTCCTCCATTGTAAAATTAATTTTTGGGTTTTCGAATTTGAGATAATTTTAAGCAGAAAAATCTTTTTCTCCACCAGGCACCCTGTTTCATTTATTTTTAATTAGCTATTAAATGTCAAATGTCCAAAAAATTTAACGAAAATAGTGTGTTTATGATTTACAAGTGGACATAAAATTGAATTAACGCTTCTATTTTGAAATCCATTTACGCCTCCCTTGTAACGTATTTGCATATTCAAAACTGGTTTCTATTATTCACTGTTCTCTATGGACTGCTATGTTGATAATGTCCTATAATAATAAAATGAGCATTAGAACATGTTTATATGAGAATTTAACTACGATAATTTTATGGATTATTTGAGAGCATATCAAGAACACTTTTGACTATTTTTAAAACAACTACTTTTAGAATACTTATGGTATTGTCATAATTACCTGTAATTAGCTTATATTATTTTCCATTTGTCTGAAGTCGATCGTCAAATAAATATAATTTTTGTGCTTTTAAGACATTGTTTATATTTTGACTGAAAATGTTGACCAGCTTTGCATAATCCTCGAACTAATTCTGCTGTGCTGTAATAGAAAGTCCTATAAATATGCAAATTTTGTATTTTCGCTTTATAGTCTCTTCTCGTACGCGATTGTCCGTTCTACTGTGAGTATACATACATTCCAATGCATTCCGCGCTGCTGAAACTTTTATAAGTGTCTGCCTCAAATATTCCACCAATACTCCGCTTGTGGTTCCAGAGCTTTTGGCATTAAGCACTTTGCATATTCTCGCCTTCGGTGACATAATGGCTGAAACAAAAAAATTTAAATCGCCTTTATATTGCATGCTACAATTTCAATTTCGATTCTTAACGTTTTTACTTGCTTTCTTCTTTTAAAGTTGCTGAAATTTTGAAAATTGGGAGCCTATATATAAATTTTGACCGAATTGTAGTTGCTATTAGTGACTTTTTTGTTTATTTCTTTTTATTGAGCTTAATCAAGCATTGAATTTTTTACTTTGAATTATTTAAGATAAGTTCATTTAAATAAAACTCAAAATCGCCTGATGTGAAATTTTCAAAAACTTATTTTTTTATTTTTCGCATATTTGAATATATGCCATACAAAATAGCTTACTAAAATTTTAAATTGATATCACAAACATTTTTTGAGTGTCAAGTTTCGAAAGTGTAGTCGCTCAATTCAATCAGCTTTGAAATGATATTTAAATAAGTTATTCTCGTAATGTCCTTGTCAGAAAATCTCAATATATGAACTTTTTTTATTACAAAATAGCAAAGAATTGGTCACAATTTCTGAATATTTTTATTTTCATACCCACACACAACCCATTCGGCTCCCTCCACCAACACTGTTATTTTCAACATCAACAAGCTGTTGCCGACTTTTCAAATCAGTTTAGCTGTCACTGTTGCGGGTTTCCATTAAAAAAAAACAAGTTTACTCTAATAATTTTACAAAATAAAATATTTCTGCCTGTTGTTGTTGTTACATCGAAGAGTAAAAATAATGTAGTGATCGATTTGTGGCATGTGAATCAACATACTCAACCAAACTTGCCATAGCCACAGTATCGCACTTGTACTATTATATTCTATTCTATAAATTATAATACTAACAGAAAAGTGAAGTGCCACTACCCCTTCTGCCGTTGCCGCAACTGACCATTTTCCATTTACCCATCAATCCCAGACATGAAATCACGTCAAAACAAGCAACCGTTATTTTTTCACATCAGCACACAGTTGCGCTGGTTGATGAATCGTGGAGCAGGCAACCATGGAAAATATCAATTCAGCGCAGAAAAAGTGTTTGATAGAGGCAAAAACAATTTGAGTTTTGTTAAAAAATATGAAACTGTACAAATCCTGTTTATTCAGTGATGAGTTTGATTTGCCCCACCGAGCGTATTGTTTCATTTTCATTCTCACTGTTCATATTAGCTCAAGGTTATTTTCAATCATTTTTTTGTTGCTGTGCTACTTACTTGTGATAGTTAGTGATGCGGTTGTCGTTGTAGTTACGAAATTAGTGGTAGGAGCGAAAAGTTTGAGATTTAAAATTAGTTGAAATTCACGTAAAGTGAATTTGTGGTTTGACCTTGAAAAAATAAAAAAAAAAATTTATCTTTAGCTGATTTTAATGATCTATCAAAAACAAAAATATGATGAATATTTTTTCTATTATCATTTAACCCTCTATCCATTTTAATAAAATATAATCAATGGTTTCTAATTTATTGAACTATTTTATTTCATATTCTTTGCAGTTTGTAAAATGTAAAAAGTTTCAACATGGCTTAGAGCAGCAAAGATTTGAAGCTGAAAGCTGTAAGTATTTAAATATATATATGCGTTATATATTAACGATTTCGAGTAATACACTTTAATATTCGTATTAACTAAAATCTAAGAGAAACATACGCACATTAATATTTAATTGAGTTTTATTTACTTTTGATAATTTGATAAATGATTTCAGAACCCAGGTTATGCTTATTGTTTCATTACTGCGTGAGTTATATATGACAGCAAGCACAATTGGTTATATCACGTGCAAACATTTTTTGTTAGAGACCCACTTGATAATTTTTGTAGAACTTAGAGAAGTGTGCTCATTTTATTTATCACTAAAATACATTTTTTTTTATCAAATGATGTACACCAAGGTGACGAATTTGACCAAAGCTTAATGTGGGCTCTACTAAGAATTCTATATTTCTCAATTCAAAAATTTCTTTGCAGTAATTCTATATATTTTCTTTTAGCTGAATATATTTTTAAACTAAAAGTGTCATAATAAACCAAATAGTTGTATGAAATGGACTACCATCTCCGTCTCGTTTGGTATATTAATTTATCTTAGCTATCAAATTTTCATTCACATATACATAAGTATATATAATGTGGTTTCTGACATTAATTTCCAGCTCTGCAAAGGGTTTCGTAAATATAACAGAATACTATATTTCTGTATATAAACTACTTTTAACAAACAAATTTATTTTTTCAACCCTTTTTCCTGCAAATATGTATTTAAATTATAGCAATTATATCCTGCTAACATTGCATATACGGCCACTAATTTCGCAAGCGTAAATATGTTTTTGCACACCAATACATATAACACAAATAACAACTATTTAAATACAGTTAAACTAAACCGACGCAGCAGCATTAGTACTACAAAGCAAAAGCAACACAAATCAAAAACATTAACAACACTCATACGCCCCGTGAGACAGACTTAAGTGGCTACTTTCCGTGCGCGTAGTGGCGTTCGCTTTCATTTGCTCTCACTAAAGCAAGTTGGGGGTTTCGTTTGAGAGCAATTTCGCCATATGCAGCGTCTTTGCCATTAAACACACAGCTATCGGGGCAAGGATTTTTTAAACGCTGCATTTATGGCCATTTGAGCAGCAGAGTCAAGGCAGCAAAATGTGTGGTGTGTGTGCGTGTGTGTTGGTGTGCGATTACATAATGTTGCTTTGCATTTTTCGCTTCCACACATTTGCACATGCTCGCTGCCGGCCTACGTTTGACTTTAATCCTTTTTATACGAACTTGTTAACACACGGATTAATGTTAAACAAACCTAAGTACACTTAAGGTTCTCTTTAGCGGCTAGCCACAACTACATGCTGGCATATATGCATATATGTATGTGCTACGTGTAAGCTACATATGTGTGTATTAATAAAAATTCATTTAATGCCATGACCTGCTGTGCTGTAAAGTACTTAATGCTGGCTGTGGCTGCTGGGTTCATGCTTCAACATGGCTACGCCGTGCTGTTGGCTGTAATAATCAAGAATGCAAAGTCTGGCCTTAGTATTTGACATGGTTCCACGTGCCATATTTTTATGATTATTCATCTCGTACACGCATATATGTATACTGTATGTTATAGCGGGTACCTGCTCAGCTTTACATAAATTACACCTTTGCAGGTATTTCTCTAAACACACACTCAAACAATTGTACGCTCCCAAGCATGCTAGCAAACAGTCATGCGTGCGCTGAAACATACTGTAACGGAATTTATGCAAGTCAAACAAAGAGAAAGTCGACAAAAAGCTATATTACGTGCCCTTGTCCACTGTCGACTGCCGTTATTCCAACAATGATGGTCAAGGTAACGTGTAGGCATAGTTACATTCTAAACTATTAAATTGCCTCTACTTTTCTAGCACTTGAACCATATTTTTATTCCGAAAGTGTGCTTGTGTTATACTATTATTGTGGCTGCAGCATCAGCGCGAGTGTGCTACTCACATGCAATCCACACCATCACACAATCAAGCCTGCCGTAAACATTCTTTCAATGTCACTGTGTTGGCGAAAATCACGTTTTTCTCATAAATCACGTGTAAATAAATAAACAGGTAGCACAATTCGCGCTGTCACAAAGCTGATGCATGTATGTCTATTACTTTTTTATTTATGCTTAGTTTGGCGCAAAGCGGTGCGGGGCGTGTGCTGCGTTGGTGTGTGTAAGCGAAAAGTGAATTTAAATGTAAGCAAATTGCCACACATGAAAATGTACTCATTGCTAACAAGCGAAGCTTTCAGTGTGTGGAAAAGTTTTTCACGCCTGAAGGTGGAGAAGCAAATTTTGTTATGCGAGTGATGAAATGAATTTTCAGCAAATAAAAAGAAAATTAAATTCATCCACCCGCGATTTTGTTGAGCTGCTTTACCGAAGCAATAATAGCGGCAAATTTGCGAAGAGAGTTTATGCTTAACTTCGTATAATCATTTCATTGTTTATACAGGTTATAAACTTCCGTGCGCATAGGCTATATATATACTAGCTAAAATACTTGTATAATGCTCTACTGCAAGATTGAATATCAAAAGAAAAGAAAAAAAAATTAATTTCGGTTAAACCAAAGCTTAAATACCCTTCACAAATATGAAAGTTCGCACACAAGAATGCGATATTGAAAAGTCACTTTTAATGGCAACTATAGAAGTATGTTAAAGTGTTCTGATCTGAACAAAATGTTGGAAGCTTGTACTGTTGGCTGGTACAATAATCCATGTAAAATTATATATGCTTAATAATCAACACTTTAAATTAATGTGTAATGTATTAAAGAGAAATTTTATTCACAATACAACACAATTGTTGTAGTAGAAATTCTAGTTCTCTAATATCTTTTAACTCAAATGAGATATGTATGTGATATAAACTCAAGAAAGCGACTAAATTAAGTACATTGGGTATATAGGACAAAATCGAATATCGAAATCAAAATATTGGGTGTACGGGGGTAGCTATGCCCGATTGCACTCACTTTTGGCAGTACAATGTATAATTACCAGGAAAATATATTATTTGAATCTAATTCAGAAACCGCTTAGATTGATCTATATATGTATGTATATGGTATTTTGACGATCGGAGTTTCGAAAATCTTTATATTAGGAAAGTAAAGACTCGATTTAAAAAAAAAAAAATATATTGACCCGATTTTATGCATTTCTGACTCGAGGGTACATGAGACTCTCTCTTAATTTCAACAATATGTTAATTCTCACAGATTGACCGATACTTTTAGTAAGAAACTAGCCATATTCATTAATGTCCACATATTCGGTATCACGGGGCTTGAACAGTTACTATCAGATTATAAAAAATTTTGCATAAAGGCACTGTTTGTGCAAAGTTTTATCCCACTTATTCTTTGGTGCTCGATTAGTATACGGTAAAGTGCAATAATCTTATGTCAATTAAAATTTTGTTATATAGGAAGTAGGCGTGGTTGTGGTCCGAATTCGTCCATTTCCACATCGACACATAGGAATGTTAGAATAATGATATGTACCAAACTTGATTGAAAATTGGTCAACTACTTCCTGAGTTATGTGACTTTGCGGTGCCACGCCCTTGTCCAAATTTGATACTGGCTCCTATGAACACTTTTATATGAATATTTAATGTTTCTGACGCAAATATTAGGCTAAGTAAAAAGTTCGTTCGGTTTTTATCTAAGAGATGGCGTTATTGTCCATAGTACTAGTGTTACGTGTCGCATCATGTCATACTATACGGCGCTGAAAACGTGTTTATTCGCGCTAAAAGTTTGTCTTTGACAGTTTTTCGATTGATTTACTCAGTTCGTTATGAGCACTCGTCAAAGATGGACACCAACAAAGAGAAAATTCGCCATATTTTACAATTTTTTTTCGATCAAAGAGAAAAAGCAGCCAAAGCGGCTGAAACCTTAATTTAATTTATAGGCCCGATACTGTAAACGAACGTGTAGCACAAAAGTGATTTGCTAGGTTCCGTTCCGGTAATTTCGATGTCAAAGATGCACCACGCGTCGGGAGGCCTGTCGTCGAAAATTGCGATAAAATCATGGAAATAGTGGAAACAGACCGTCACGTGAGCACTTATTTAATTGCTGAGGAAATAAAGATAAGCCAAAAAACCGTTTGGAACCATTTGCATAACCTTGGATTCAAAAAGGAGCTCGATGTTTGGGTGTCACACGAACTAACGCAAAAAACATGATGGACCGAATTTCCATCTGCAAATCGCTGCAGAATCGCAACAAAATCGACCCGTTTCTGAAGCAGATTGTGACTGGCGATGAAAAATGGGTCACTTATGACAACATCGAGCGCAAACGGTCGTGGTCAAAGCTCGGGGAAGCGGCCCAGATGGTGGCCAAGACCTGATTGACGGCCAGAAAGGTTTTGCTGTGTGTTTGGTGGGATGGGCAAGGAATCATCTACTGCGAGCTGCTCCCCTATGGCCAAACGCTCAATTCAGCCCTTTACTGCCAACAACTGGACCGCTTGAAGGCAGCAATCATCCAGAAGAGGACATCTTTGATCAACAGAGGCCGAATTGTGTTCCATCAGGACACACACGTCTTTGGTGACTCGCCAGAAGCTCCTGGAGCTCGGATGGGAGGTTCTAATGCACCCACCTTATAGTCCGGACCTGGCACCAACTGATTACCATATTTTCCTGTCCATGGCGAACGCGCTTAATGGTGAGAAGTTGGCCTCAAGAGAGGCCTGTGAAAATTGGCTCTCCGAGTTTTTTGGCAATAGGGACGCAGTCTTCTACAAAAGGGGTATAATGAAGTTGATATATCTTTGGCAACAAGTTTACGAACAAAACGGCGCATATTTGACTTAAATCGGACAAATGTACACAAAGTTATCATCTTTTGAAAAATCAATAAAAAACCGAACGAACTTTTTACTTTACCTAATATTTAGTGAGTTATCGCACTTGAAGTATTTTTCAACATAATCATTATACCGGGAGTGGGCGTGCTTTTTATCCGATTTCACCCATTTTACACTGT